CGAGTCCTGTCGCAGCCCAGATTTTCGTTTCATCTTCAATCCTTACCCAGTATCAACTACGCCTAGATTTTTCTCTTTTTTCTATCTCTCTATCTTTGTCTCTGTTACTAAAAGTAAAGTAATTTGATCGCTAAACCCTAAACGAAGGGACCTTTTTCACTTGTCGCCTCTTTAGAGTTACCTGCTTTATGTAATTCTTTCCAATTTATTTTATTTCAACAACAGTAATGATGGCGCATAGATTGTTTAAATTAGTCAACAAATAAATAGAGATACTGTTTCTGATTCAAATTTTTGTCTGTAGAATGTAAAAAACAAAATGGTAGAATAGGAGGAAAAAAAACACTACACAAGAAAAATGAATGAAAACGAACCAGCCAACAAACAAACAAGTAACATATACCTAAGTGATAGAAAAACAGCGAAGTAATAATATCGAAAACAAGAGAGAAATTTAATCTGTTTGATATTGGCCTTGTTTGAAGACGACAGTCCAAGCTGTTGTCGTATATTTCAGCTTTTATTATGGCAATATTTTCAGCATATATCACATAAAGTAAGTAAGTATATGATTGTTATTGTGGAGTTTAGTAGTAATAAACAAAACAAGAGATCAGTTACTATACCAGGAACAATACATACAGAAGTCTCCATAGCCAAATGGTACTGTCTGTGAGTATATGTTTGTGTGTACTTCGTATGTGCATAATTGGGTATATGCGCATGCATGATGTACGTAATTGTACATATCTTAGTTAATTTTTAGATACTGAATAAAGAATTGAGGAAAGTTCCACCTGAATGCCTTCACGTTTGATTTAACCCTACCCACTTGTTCATTGAAATCACCTCCTACGACAAGCACATCTAAGTGCTTGGCTTTCAGCAGAAGGCTAGACAGTTTTCAGTAGAACTCATCCTTCACTTCATCCAAACTGAAGTCAGTAGATGAGTAGGGAGAGATTACAAAGATAAAATGGGAGGTTCTACTACTCTTTTTAGACTTAACTATACCATTTAGCCAAACAGTGCACAGGAGACTGTCAAAGAGGATCTATTTGAGCACCAGGCAGTCACATTTATCTCTGTAATTGCTTAGCATTATACCACAACCTCCTCAGTTAGTTACTAACAACGTTGACACTGACTTTTTATTCTCCTTTGAAGAATATCAGAGTATTGCAGTCATCCGTCCATTGAAAGACTAAGAATATCCGAAGATGCTTAAGAGGCACGTAAATGGGGGACAAATCTTCGAAGATCCCTATAATAGTTCTTTTTTACAGAGTTCTTGATGAGAATGACAAATTTCATATGGGATCGACTAAATTACGGATTTACATTATGTTTTCATGTTGAACTAACAATGTCCTCGTGGATGATACTAGAAGTGCCATCAGATTCACTAGTATGAAAGCTGTACGATGTATGCTAGTGACTGAAATGAGCAGTTTGAGACCATTCACATGATTAGATCGAAAAGATCTAAACTCCGTCCAGCTGTTCCAGTCGTTTGGGATCGAATTCATCATTGGTGGTATATGAGTCGATTTCGCCTTCAGGGGTTGAACCATTCAAGCCACCTAAATTCTACCTGGCTACTTTAGAGGACTGGTCATAAGTAGACGTTATGAAAACTTCAACATCTTCTTTACCCTTTCTATTTCAACCTACAAATCTAGAATTTTGAAGAAGGATTCCTTGAAGTACTTCTAACTTACATCTGATAGCTTAAACGATGTACTTTGTAGATTGTCACGCATAAACTTTCTGCAAAAATACTTTCAAACAGGATTTCTATACCTTTTTTCAAGTTGATAGTTAAAACGTTCAAACAATGTTGTGTTTAGATATTAATGATAGATAGTGGCTAGCAGTGGGATCCACGACGCTTGTTTCGTCCCGTTTGGGACTTGTCAGCCGGATGTGCCTGCCTCCAGCTGACCAGCCATAAATAGGACGAAACGCGCTTCCTGGATTTCATTGCTAGCCACTATCCATCATTACTATCAAAACTGGAACTACTAGCAATATTTAGGCATCCACATAGGAGCCTGGATGCCAACAGAGACCGGTCAATTCGGTCCAGTCACTATGGGATAATACAAGCAGCATCTTACGAATATTGTGTTTAATGCTCCTTTTAACATGAAGCCTATAGAGGGACGACTGTCTATCACTGACACTCACGGAAAAAGCTTGTTGTAAAGGATATCGTTGTGTCTGTTGTGACATTTGGAACTGATTGATTACAGGTTTAATGTCAGTTGACCCACTCTTAAAGTTGGTCAGTCCTAATTTAGGAAAACAGATTTTGTCTACTTTTCCTCTTCAAGAAAGATAAGCATGAGTGGCAGAGTCCGGGAGAAATGGAGAACTAATGGAATAATTCTACAGTTGGACAATATGACAAATTGACTGGAAATGATAATTATAGACCATTAGATAGTGAACTTCAAAGTTATGAGATTAAGGTTTGATATAACTGCTCTTCAGTGAGTGATGTTGTTCTTACTGAAACTCGAAGTCAGGACTGATCGCTTCAAACGCCAGAGAGTTTGTGTGACAACACTCTGGCATTTGAAGTGGTTGGCCCTGGATTTGAGTTTTGGTGCGGACGACATCACTCACTATGAAGCAGGTACATCCAGCTGACGAGTCCGAAAATAGAAAGAAAAGCGCGTCTGGATTCTTCTGCCAGTCACAACCAAGTGAATTAGTATAAAGAATTGCACTAGAAGTATACAAATTCGTATTTTATGCGATTACTGAATGGTTATAAGTACTAACTAGTCATCTAATATCATATGTGCGGGATTAAATTTAAACCAATAGTCATTTAGTTGATCTAGCTCGGAGGTTTGTGTGGATTGATTGATTTGATCAGTTGGGGAAATCACTGAGAATCATAAAACTTGGACAGTTGTTTCGTCTTATGACGGGACTCCTCAGGAGTGTGCATCCATGACAATCAAGTTCAGTAGTGAACAGTTTACCATTAAACCACTGGGTCGAAATCGAGTAGTACATATTTTACAACTTCTTTTGGTGACTAGCTTCTAGGGTGATTCCTGAAGTTTCAATGAAAAATCATGACCAGTGATGCAAACCTAGTGGTCCTGAGGACAAATACCCGACTATGACAACATCGATTGATGGTCTCGGTATGTCGTGAACTGACAGAAGTTGAAAATATGAAGCATTAGATTCCGACCTAATAGCTCAATGGTGACGTGCTGGCCACGAAACCCGAAGGTCTTTCCTTCGATTCCTGAGGGGGTCATGGGTATGCATTGCTGAGTTCCATAGTAGGACGAAACAGCTGTCTAGTTCTCCCAGGTTTCCAATGTTCCTCCAAGTTATATCAGTTCATGATGAATACCAACTTGAAAAACCACAAAACTCCAAATTCAGTTTACTACTTCTGTGAATTCATGACATATCACGGTAATCAACCGAGATCTTCAGTGAGTATTGAGTATCCAGGCTATATATTGAATGACTGATAACAGATTTTCATTTTGTATGAGTTCAGTTCACAGATAAAATTAATCGGAAGTTCAATAAGATACTCAATATTAATTTACAATTTACAAAAGATACTAACATTTTAAACAAACAGTAGCAATAGCAGCAGTATCATGGAGAATAAATAAAGATTATGTATAGTAATGATGGGCTGTGGCTAGCATCCTGGATTCCCCTGCTAGCCACTGCCCATCATTACTATACATAATTAAAACACAGGCCATATCATGGCATCCGCACACGAGCCTATATGCCAACAGAGACTGATCAATTAGGTCCAATCAACGACGGTGTCATACAAGCAATAATACTAAATAAAGATTATATTAGAAATTGCCCAGTCATCTTATAAATCTTTTTGAACGAAAGAAAAGCATCTCCAACGTTGAAGAGATTATTTTTAGTTTCCTTTTATCTTTTTCTTTCTAGTGAAAAATTCGTTTTTTTTCTCATATTGTTGTTGTTGTTCCACTATAAATCTTATCGGTTAAATTTAGTGGCTCCTTTGATTTTGTCTGCATGGCTAGATTTCTTTTGTGTATGTGCGTACACATGTGTTATTTAACTTACATTTATGTGTTGTCTGTGTGTACATCTATAGGATACATTAATTTTCATTTATGTGGGTAAGTAGCAGATAAGCGGATGTCTGGCTACACACATTTGAACCTACTAGTCGCTTGTTTAATGGTATACTTACTCGTTCAGTCTTATTTCATTATTTACGTTATTGAAAGAAATTGTCTTATATAAATGAAATAAATATAGATAATTCACAAAATTCCATCAAATAAATTTTTTTCTTTCACTAATTTAAGATTCACTACTCACTAACATTAATCAGTATGCACATATGTGGATTGTATCTACATGTGCTTTTAGATAGATAGATAGATAGACAGACACATGCAAAAAGACATAAATATGCATGTACATTTATGTGCATTTATTCCTATAAGGTTAAATGAACTACAAATCTGTAGACGACAGACATATACTTACACACTGACAGACATACATTCGTGGTGTGTGAAAATGCACTTTATCAAACGGTACATGAATATGAAATTTCACGTTGACTATTATTATTATCATTGTATGTTAAGGAAAGGAAACGGTTCCAGCAACATCCATTTGATGATTTATTTGATACCGCGTTAGGTGTATGAAAAACTTCAAAGTTAATCGCCGACCGGACATACACAGCAGCAACAACAACAAAAATAATGATGAAAAGAAAGAAAACTACAACAGTCTAACGAATAAATACTGAACTGAAGCCTATAGAGAATAGAAGCTAACAGTTGACTAAAGTTATGGGTAGGAGGTAGAAAACAAAAAAGGAAAACTGCATACATAATAAATCTAAATGCCTTTTAATGCATGTACTTAAAAGGAAATACGAGTAAGCAGTAGTACATCAGTGGGACCAGTGATAATGGTCACATATGTAGTTGTGCCAGTAATCATAATGATAGTACTACAATTAGTATTCACATATAAAGAGAGGAAGACGGGGGGGGGGAGGAGGAGAGTTGGAAAAAATGCACTATGAAGGCCATAAGCAAAGGTCATTCCTGACTTTGTTTTTAAATGTGTGTGTGTGTGTGTCTTTGAATGTACTTTTCCTTTTTAGTCTAATGTTTCAACATCAAAAGATTTTCGGAAAGGCGAAAAATTCTTTTTATGTTTTACTAACTCTAATGTATTTTGAGGTTTATAGGGAATTTATATTATCAAGGTTGCATTCATCGTAGATTGACATAAGTTGAGGGGATCCATTAAAACATCTGTTTCATTTTCAGTAGTATGTATATTCATGAACCAGCTCCGTTACGGATAGGATTCAAGACCTTCAGAAGTTATGGAGTTCACAAGATGTGAACTCTGACATAAAAGTGTCATGAATTCGCAAAAATATACTACTACTAAATACTTTGAGTAGTTAGAAACTACTCAGGTTAATCTGTGAGAATTGTCAGTATGAAAGGTGAAGTTTGTAAATCATTTGTGAAAAAAAAATCCCATTTCAATAGAAAATCTGAAATTGCTTACCCAACGTTAATGAGATTCATGTGTACAATTAGGATTGGTCAATGGACAGCATAGTGTATCCGATACAGATGAACATTCATTGATTAAAATTTGATTTTTTTCACACGTTTGACACGGTATACACTTTACACTGTCAGCAGTTTGTGCAGACCAAAAACCAGCTGGACAAGATTGACACTGTGTATCAGAATTCCAATCACATGGTCTTGAGGAAATTAGTAAAGAAAAAGAAAACAAAACGTCAAGGAAAAAGTATATCATACGATTAAGCTTTCTACATACTACATTAGATAATCTATACAAAGGATTTCTGATGAAACAGACTTATCAAAGAAACACTAGACAATTTCATGACAGTAATAAATGCTTTAAAACTTGATTTATTATCAGTTAGACTACTATCTGAGATAATCATAGTTCGGCAGAATTGTGGGGTGAAGGTGAAATGAAAATTTCGGCCTTGGTAGGGTTCAAACTAGTGACTTCTGCGTTATCGGCGCAGTTCTCGACTGGCTTTCACCAATTACGTCACCTATAGCGCCACCATGGTATCCGATTGTCTATAAAGGGTGACGTGTACTGCATTCTCTTCTACTCTATGGCTGTGAAACATGGCCAATGAAGGTGGAAGACATGAGAATGCCTCAGGTGTTTGACCACTGTTGCCTTCGTAGTATAGGCCGTATTCCGTAGTGTCACCACGTGAGCAACGCAGACGTCAGGGGTGGAGTTCTAGGGAGTAGAGGTAAGTCAGTGACGAGGTTGTGAACCTTCATCGATTGAGATAGCTGGTTGGGACACGTGTTACGTATGCCTAGTCACCGATCGCCTCGTCACACAATGTTGGTCAAAGTAGGTCAGGCTGGAGAAAGGCCCGAGGTGGCCAGACTAAAACATGGCATCAATGTATGAAGTGTTGACTGTTGGTTTGAGCCATATGAGGCGATGCAGACTGGGTAGTTGGGGTCCGCAGGACAAGAGAACCAGTGGTTGGAGACTGTAGGGGATGTGGCTGAGAACCGATGTGAGTGGTGCAGATGTATACACACATTATTCTCATCTTAACGACATTATACCGAATCTCAGCATTTTGTCATTCTTCCTTACTCTCTTTTCGTACTTATATTTCTTTTGACTGCATTCTCTTACCTTCATTCTTCACCTCACTGCCTTTTTACTTGATGTACTAATATGAGGTGTGGCAACTCGGACCGTTACTCAGTAATGTCTCATCGTATGTTGATTTGGATGGATGGATGGATTCACCCTGACTGGCCAGTCAAAGACGGAGCTTGACTATTTGTGACATTCATCTTTAAACAGTCTTGATTTATTCCATGTAACATAATATTAAGGTAAATCCTAACTCTGTTGTGGAATACTGGGGTAAAATTCATTTGAGATCTTCATGACTGAGAGGTATTTCAAGTTAGTACGATTTTATCAATGATTACTAAAAGTAGTTTAACGTCACATTATTGGACGCTGTTATATAGTTTAATGAGATATTAAGTGATATTAAGCAGTAGGGGTATCTGGTATTTTACCATGTAAGGTTTATGTAGCATGAGTGATATCATCCATTATTATTCGAAACAAACCATGCGTGAAATGAGTAATTCCGAGCATAATTTTAATTAATTTCTTCGTTTATTGTCATATTTTTAATCTATATTGTTACGAGCGACTTTAAAGGCCACCGTAACAACGGCCAAAATGACCAATCAGGTTGCGGTATTTTGTCTGGGAAGACAGTTTTTCATCTATTATAGAGACGTGATTGGTTGTTTCCTCAGTTGCGAGGGTGGCCTTTAAAGTCGCTCTATTATTATTTTATTATTTGTCCCTAGGGCTTCAGTAGCACATCACCACTTCACTCTCTTCTTTCCAGTCTTCTTAACCTGGTTCTACAACTGCCCACAAGCTTTCATCTCTTCCTCACACAATCTCCTTCATGTCACCCTTGCCTCGGATGCCCAACCGGTCGTTTCCCATTTGGCTTCCACTCGACGGCCTGGCCTGACGCAATATGTCCCCAAATGGTCTTCTCAGTGTATGTCCAATACAATCCACCTCCACTTTCTTCTTCTGCACATTTGTTGGGTGATGGGTTCACGGTTGGTTCGTTGTAGAGTGAGTTCCTTGTTGCTTATTCTTATTATTCTGGCCATTTGATCTGATCTTCTATATCGAGTGAGTGTTGGCGGCAGCTCTTCATGTATGTCTGCAGTCTGTTGGAAATGCTTTTCGTAAAGCACCAAGTCTCTGAATCATATAGAAGCACTGACCTGACTGACATCAGTGTTGAAAATCCAGATCTTGTTCTTTATGCTGAGTGCAGTGTAGTGCAGTAGATCTCCACACTAATTTCAGATTAATGAAATAAGGCCTGTCTTGCTGGCCTGGCTTTGACATCCTCCTCTGGGCCTGTACCAAGTAGGTAGTGTTACATTAAGCTTACATGGCAACTTGCAGGATACTGTAAGTGGTGGTATACTTAATATAATCGAATATGTAGCTTACTTAAGACAATAAATACATTTCCCACCTTTTTTTTAGCATTAGATTATCCAGATTAAATTTTTTATTATTTCTACCTAAAGCGAAATATTCAGCCTGATACATTTTTATTAGGGTGAACAACAGTTGTAGGTTGTTAAGCAACATGCTCAGATGAGTTTTGTTGATCATACGAAGTGGAGTGATCACTGAAAGTGTGGCTTGTTGGTTTAGGCAGTTGATTCTCAGCTTATAGATTGCGAGATGAAGCCCTACCACGCTTACCTATTTTTCCCTTTAGCCAGGTAGTATAATTAATCATCATACGATTTGATTTAGAGTAATTTGTAAAGTAATTCAACATTTGACGAGTTGGTTTCAGTTAGAAATTATCATTGTTTTAAGGTTATTGTTGAGAAAACAGGTTTTTACTTGATTGCTGACAAATCAATTTTATAAGTTCTGATCTTGATGACGGCTACTAATGGAATCCAGAACTTGCATCTCATCCTATTTGAGACTCACTTTCAACGGATGCACATGCTTCCCATTGAATGATTTTGCTGACACTGGGACTCGAACCCAGTATCCACTTCTCGTAGAACGGATATCAGTTATTTGTCGATACTTGTAATTTCCTATCTCTATACTTGGTCGAATCGCTCGACCTTTGAAATATTGATTATTATAACCCACAACCTGTTGATATTCGTCTGAGATGATGAAGGCTTTCATGAGGTATACAAACACACAACATGGGCCAGGTGAAATGAAGTAATAACACTTAGTTTTCACACCATGTTCACATTGTGTTGAGTACCATATTTTAATTATTTTATTCTAAAATGTAACTGCGTTGTATTTATCATTTCGACTCTGATAGAGAAAAGCCTTTTATTTTTCCGAAGTTTAACAATTACTAATATCAAAACAGCTGTTCATAAGATAATTTTCTTATTTTCTCTTACCATGCATGTTACATATTTGCTGGTTAATTATACCAACAACAACAACAACAACAATTACCATTGAAACATGAAAGGCATGTGTATCAGTGCTGGTTGGAACCGAAAAGGTAACTGGCTTATTGTAGAACCTAACATACACCACTGGGCTAGTACAACAAAAGCATTTCACTGCACAAAAGTTAACAAGAAATAGCATATTTTCATGTACCGATGCATGCATAAAGATCAAAGAAGGGTTTATATATATATATATGTACGTAAACACGTCTTGTATGCACGCCAATATAAACAAGAAATTCTGTAGAAATCAGTTTCATTTATCTCGTTTAACATTATTTAACACCAAGAATCTGACTTATGTGTCTAGTGTGTAAACGTTAGTGTATATATTTGTTACAGTTTAAATTATTTAACATTTTTTTGTGTACAGTTTTCGATATGAATAAATAACCAATGAAAAAACAGTGAAGATTTTTTAAATTTTAGACTTAGGCTACTGAAATTAAAATAAGTAAAATAACTATTGTCAACTTCAACTCACTTGACTATACCTTCCCCAGGTTTACAAATAGTGCATGGTTTACATGTTTGTTCTTTTTCTGACATATAATACGATTTTTTACACTGACATATTGTATCTGTTGTCGGAGTACATTCAGTGCGTGTCTTTGCTAAAGGATGAAGCTGAAAGGACAATGGAAACAGGTTTTTTTTAAAATTCTATCACTGATATACTTTCGAAATAAGCAATGTTAGAGCAGAGGATATAAAACTGAGAACAACATATTAGCCGCCTAACAAACTCTTATACTCGTGGAAAATATTTTTTTCAAGGAAATTCAGTGCGTTAGAAAACATCCATTGACGTATTTAAAAACTGGCAAAAACGTTGTGTTTCTTCGCTCATCCATGGAACGGTGAGTGGAAGTTAGACAACAAAATCTTTCGGAGTTAATGTCTACCCTTTAACCTTGCATCAGTCAAAGGAATGAACTTATATATCGAAACTACATAGCTTTTTCATGATTAGTAGTATGGTATTGTGGTAAGTTCCAATGAGAATGTAAGAATGTAAGTAAAAACTTACGGCTAGTATTTCTAAATAACTCTGGCGAAAGTAACTGTGTCTCTGAACACAACCAAGTGCAATTGCCTAGTTATGTACCAGGCCTCAAAGTGAAGAAGCTCTCTATTGGGTAGTTAACTATTGTTGTTGTCTGAATTTCTGGGAAGGAAACCAGGAGTTGAGATGTGCACCGATGAATAGTGGTTGAGCCTAGTTATTCATTGACGGTGAGCCACCTTGTGGCCTCACCAGATTCTAACCAATACACCACATAGTTGAATTAACGGTAGTAATAGTCTACGTGATCCATATGTGCTGATCAGTAGCAGAGATCTCCAGTTGACCTAGCGGATTCTCTCCAGAGCGCAAGAAGCATCGCGTCAATAAAAGTTAGGGGATCCAGCTTCCTAATTTCCGTAGTCAGTGTTGTTGAAGCAGTCTCAAGAGAGGTTGTGTGGTTTACTTTGGGAGGATGGGACAGTATTCAGTTCGAAGTCCCGGATATCGTTTACTATGGCCAGCCTAGGAGGAGCCTGTGATTCTTCTGAGTGTTCTGCATCGCTTTATGCAAGAATGAGGAAAATCAGTCAGACGTATCCCACATATGTCTGCTCAAGGTGGAGGTGAGTAATATCAAAGAGTCAATTACTATGAGAACGCGGATACTTTGAAGCGTGGTAGTTGGGTCGGGGGGAGGGGAGGAAGAGAAGGGATTCACTGATTAGTTTTTAGGGAGTGCTAATAGAGTGCCCTGGCAGTAGTGCTCATTTTCATGTAGTTACATTGCTAAAAGGTGTTTTGAGGTCAATGACCTGACCAGCACCCTGAATTAAGAGACGATAACGTCCAGACAGTCTAGCCTGGAACTGGGAACTGAGCGGGAAAATGAAATAAAATTATCTAAATAATTCTTGAACTCTACAAAATAGATAGAATTATTTGGGTAGATCGGTTATCAGTGCAGCACATCGGTTCCTTCCAAAGTATAGCATGATTTTGTGGTGTTTAATGATTCAATGCAATAATTCTCCTTATTTATTGATCATTATCTAAAGCTAGTCTACAGAAGACTTTTTGCACTGAAATATCATGTTCACTAATACTTAGTGAAAGGAGATTTTAGTGATATACCAAAGATGCGAAAGTTTTCACCTCCAAAGGTGGGTAATATGAGTAAAATTGTTGTGCATACTGACAAGATCATGAACTTTCACAAAGCAATCTACAGGAATTCTGGACAGTATCATTCAGAAAGTCAAAGGAAGCATCATTTCCACAAATTCTGTTTTGATGATAAGTGTTGAAAAGTACGAAATAGATTTAATATAGAGTTTCTCTATGGTCTAATGGCTAATACTTAGGTGTTTGAAGCAATCGGTCCTGGGAATATCATCCCTCACTAGGAGGCAGGTACACCCACCTGATGGGTGGCGAATTGGACGGAACGTACATCTTGGATTCCACTGCTGGCCATAATCCATCATTATTAATAATGTTATATGAACTATGATTTGATCGAATAGTATCGGGAATATTGGGCACAAAGCGAAAGGTTGACATTAGGTATAGTTTATATTTGTATGTAATTCATAGCATGTTTGAAATGAAATAATTCCAAAGTTTCATGCAGAAGTCTGGTATCAGTTTTTTTCTTTCTGAAGAATCTTGGGATATGCTACTAATGAACAACTTGAATAGTTAGAAACTACTCCGGTTGATCTACAGATTTTTGCCAAGCAGGCAGGTGACAGTGATTTAAACACTGAACGGCTATTTTACTTGTTTCAGATCGAGCTCATCAGTTGTTTACAGATCAGTCTAACTATTCAAGTTGTTCAGCAGTAGAATATTTCGTTAGTTCATTACACTTTAGGATTAGAGATCATACATATACACTTATCTTAGATGTGGTTGATTTTCAATCAAAACAATCAGTTGATTAGTTTCACAATTTGGCAATTAAAAAATTACTCAATTATGAAAAATGTCAAGGTGGAGTATCCAGTTTATTAGTTGACCTATAACTTGCAAAGTATATGAGTAATTATCTTACTATCTGATGGATTCCTTGTAAATTTACAATATGTATTGTATAAGTAATAATTTTGCTCAAATTTAACGATTTTTGAGTACAAGTTTTTGACTAATAATAAATTAGACATTAAGTATACTCATAACTGAATTTATCAGTCAAGATAATAACTATCATAAGGGTTATAAGTTGTTCATACTAAATAACCTTAAAGAGAGGTACAAAGTTTATAAGCATTTTTGTTTCAGGTTTACACTTATTTTTTGATTGATATTCATTTAAAGAGTAGAAAAGAGATATACTACTTAAGTAATCTAAAAATTGGAGCTAAATTGATAATTAAAACAGATCAAATTATTTAAATACATTATTATAAAGTTGTTGATGAAAGTTCATTTGAATGAAACAGTGATCATAGAAAAGATTTCCTTATTTAATTCAATACTTATTCAATAACATCATTGAACATATTTTAAAAAAGAATCATTTCATTCTACATAGAATACTTTTGTTTAATTTAGTAATTATTGAACAATTTTAATGAAATTAACCTTACTTCTTCACAACGTCGACATTGCATACACTTTTTTGTAGCACTTCTAATTGATGTGAATTCAAAACCTGGCTTACATGGTCGACATTGTGTATCCTCTGTATTTGAGCATAATCTTAACATTCCATTACCAATTTCACATTTACGACAACAACGAGGTGTCCCACGTACTGGAGATACAAATTCTTCAGCTGGATCATCACAAGTCTCCTAGAGAAAATAAAATTCATTAAAGAGTGAAGATAGATTGTAATTGTAATTGAAATTTTTTTTATGGATCTTTTAATGAAAAAAAATTTTTTTTCTGTATCGAAGTAAACATATGCAGATGGATACTAGTAACAATATTCAACAGTATTTACTGATCACTATGACATATAAAAAATACTCAGAATGAATCTAACTGTTTTCTACAAATTGATAGATGATAAATAATCTGGTACAATAAAGTAAATATAAAAACTCAAGGTATTATCAACAACAATTTTGTGTAGTATATAAGACGGTTATTTTGACTTGTTAGTATTGTATGCCTAAACTTTAGAGTTTGAAGTACTGAGTGATGACTGAAGTGTAACCAAGGAAGTGTAACTGTGTTTCAATACTTTAGGCAGTTGAACTCCTACCAGTTAGTAACGGGTTTACACACCGCCTCATCTATCGAGGTTTGGGTAGTAGGATAATAGTCCTACTAGGACTCGTATATTGTGTTTCTAATTTTCTACTGAACGAGTGTGAGCAAGGTTGGTGAGCATTGATTGGTTACAGGAGTGCAACCAATTTCATGTTGTCTAGTCTTGAGTGCAGATCGAATTCTATCGATCATATTTACAATGTGGCAACCAAGCTAGGAAGCTCAGCATCGCGGTGTACATCAGTAGATAATAGTTGGTTGGAGGTAATCGGCAGGAAGCCCTACTCGACTTAGGTTTCGTGCTTTTTGGCACTCGTCAGCAAGGCGTATCTGCAACCTCGGCGGAACTGATGCCCCGCCTGAGATTCGAACCCGCATCACTACTAATGTGCACCGCGATGCTCAGCTTCCTAGCTTGGTTGCCACATTGCAAATATGATCGATAGGATTCGATCTGCACTCAGGACTAGACAACATGAAATTGGTTGCACTCCTGTGACCAATCAATACATGTAATTCAGTCTACAGGAGGTCAGTCGCGGCTCAGATAGCTCAGTGGTAAAGTCACTGACTACAAGTCTGGGTGACGCGGGTTCGAACCTCAGGCAGGACATCATTTCCGTCGAGGTTGCAGGTATATGTATATATTCGTTTGACTTGATTTCAAGTGGAAATAAAATAGGCCAAGTACCTGCAATTACCCCACGAACACGTTTTCACCACGCTCTAATTATTTCGTTGTAGGATGTTTACTACTTGCAAATATTAAGTAGTCATTATAAATGTAAGTTTTAATATAATGATAATAGTAATACCAGGTAGGCAAATATAGATTTATACTGGGTGATGATTGAAGGTGAAATGAAAATTTGAACCACAGCTGGATTCGATCAATCAACACGGGTTTCGCCCGACTACCATGAGAATTCATGACGTGTTACTGCCACTTGATTGTATTCACACTGGCTGTCTAGTTAGGACTTCTCATCCCAATTTAAAATTTGGCCCTCACAGCTCAGTCAGTGGAGCACCGAGCCAGAAACCCGGTGATAGCTGGTTCGAATCCGGCTGTGGTCCAAATTTTCCTTTCACCTTCAATCATCACCCATCAGGCTTTGAAGTTACATTTAGAAATTATTCAACATAGGCATTTGACACAGTTTACTGTTCAACGGAAATATGTACCTGATTAAACTACATTCTCCAATTGTTGCAATGGGAATATTGAATAACATCTGTTGAAAAATTTATATGCTGAAGTATAGACAAGATTATTAACGGCGATCTAAATCGAAGACAGTTAAACGCTGAAGTTATATGTCGACATAAAGTGGATAAGACATTGAGAAATATAGTTTACTTTGTCCTAAAGAAAGATGTATTTATCAAGCTACCGTACAGTGGTGATGCAAATAGCTTGATAATCAGATAGAGACTTAACTTTGCCATCAATAAAACATATTATACAACTAAGATTTCGATAATTGAACATTTCATGCCTATATCCCTATCGAAGCCCTTGAAACAAATGACAGGTGAAGTCACGTCCCACTGCATTTATAAAAGTTGAATGTACTTTTTTTTCACACATATACAGATAGGACTCGTCTTGTCATTGAAATAAGAGTCATAGAATATGTACCAGTGTGGCTTCATAACAAATGAGGCCATTTAACTCAATTAATGCTGGAAACAAACGTCCTAATTAGTCACTAGATAAATATTATTAGGAAGGGGCATAAAATGTATGTAAAAAACGTCATTTAAGCAAATTTACTAGATTCCTTAGGGAGGTATTTTTAAGTTTCTTGAAGTATTAACCACTACGAGGTTAAAATAACCTTTATACGTTCAGAAACAATTTGTCATCGTATTGAAACTTCCCTAGCTTCGCACTCAACGATCATTTTGACTATCTGAGATAGTCATTAGTTAAGCAGATTAGTATTTATAGTAAGTGATAATTGAAGGTGTAATGAAAATTTGAACCGCAGTTGGATTCGAACCCGGTGGTTGCTGATTCCAATCCGGCTACCGTCCAAATTAACTTTTGCTTACTGGTTTACTAATCTTCATTGTTATTTTAACCTTTAACATAGTTTACTCATTTGACTGATATTCATTCTTCTATCACCTTTAAATCTGAAAATTTTCCATATAAATGCCTATGACAGTTGAATGTATGATCAGATTTATTCGAAATGTTTTACTCAAATTACACTTAATGATCTAAATAAATTTATATCTTCTTATTGTTTTGTCGATAATTTATGAGTATTAGTTGAAGACTGATAAAACTAATATCATATTGAAATTATAATGAAAGGTTAAGTAAGTAGATTTACATAAATACACCTCACATACACACACGGAGGCGTTCATGTAATCATTTGTATTTCATTGTAGTATTTTATAAGTGTATTATGTCAGATTCATGGAGGGCGAAGAAAAGTGTGAAAATACAAGGGCTTCTCCTGTCTACATTCAACTGGTTTCTTTATTTCAATAGTGACACCCTTAGCTGTCTATCGAAGAGGAACTCATACCGCATTTGGCAAATGGTTAACTATGAACTTTATTTATATATTGTATATGTATTTTCAATCCTATTTATTAATCATTAAAGCAGTTAAAAAGAAATTTTTTTGAACCGCAAAAGATCGTACAAATAGGGGTAGGGGTGGGATTCACTCAGTAACCTTATGCACACCTATGCAATAGGCAACGAATTACAACTGTTGTATAACAGCTACTCATACCATTTAGATTTCCAAACCTCAGTGGATGGAGGGGTGTTCGAACCTATGACTTAAACCAACAGGTTACCCATTTCACAGTTTTATAAATATCATAGATTTTATGTTTTTATAATCATGCAAAAAATCTGGTTGAAAATAAAAGGCTTTCAGTTACCTCAAAGAGAATAGAAAACATAATGAATCAGTGAATGAAAGAAATTTTAGCTAGTACAATACAATCTATAATGTAATTCACAATATTAGGAAGTAATACATATTAAAATGGTTGGTTTTTCAATTATTACCTTTAATGTGAATAGTAAAACAAAAAGTGATTATACTGAGGAGATAAAAATCAGAAACAATATTTTCTGTATTGATTGTGTTTTGAAGAAGATATGAAATAAAGGAAATAAAGGGGGGCAATAATTTCATTTTACTACTTATTGCATAAAATCAAAGGTGATTCTTCACCTTTTAGACTGTTTTTCCTTAGTGTTTATGGCTAAATGTGATGATGAAACAACCATTTTTTCCTTTTTTAAAGCTTCATTTCAATTTTTCAATAATTCACATGATATTATACGAGAAAATATTTTGTCGGTGTAAATTGAAAAAGGCATAAAAACTTGATGAAATATTTCTATAGTCTTTTCTTCTCTATCCTAATAGTCTGGAGAAGTATTAGAAAGTGAGACAATGTGTAAACCATAGGATTTAATGTTTTTCTATTGTTTGAACTTCCTTTTTCGCTTTTTCTCTTCCACCCTTTCCCCCCCCCCTCCCTTCCCCCTATACATTTTGGGAGACACAAATACTACTAGTTCTTTTAGCAGTAGTATAATATTAACAGTAGAAACAATATAGTAATATTAATGACAGGCAAGTACTTTTTTTCATACCACTGTTGATAGTTATTAAAAAAAGTGGTAGATTGGCTTTAGAGTGAGAAGGGGTTGAACACTTTGTCGGTAAAATTCTTTTGATGTTTTCTCATCCTTTAATAATGAAAATAGTATTAAAAAGATTACTTTTCATATTTTCATTGGTATGAATAAAAGCTATAATAACTGATTGGTGAGTTGGTTAATTTGCTAAAAAGAAAAACTCAACCTGATGGTTTGACGACGGTTGACTATATAGTCTGATATACCTGAGACTAATTATGCATACTAGACCGTTTGTTTTAAATCTTTGTGATTAAGTATGTCTAGTTTCAAGCGCTGATCGAATTCATTCGATCATTTTTACGATATGCCTACTAGACTAGGCAACTCAGAATCCCGATGCAATGAGAGTGATATTATTTGAATGGAGACAATCAGCCGGAAGTCCTGCCCCATCTAGGTTCCGTGTTTTTTTTAGCAGTCAATAGTAAGACGTTTCTGCAATCTTGTTGAAAGTGATGTCCCGCCTGATATTCGAACTCACGTCACCCAGTGCTATATAGTTAGAAATGCCGTCAATCATGGTCGGAATAGCTCAGTGCCAACACTTCTGACTCCAGAACTGGGTGACAGGAGTTTGGATCTCAGGTGGGACATCAATTCCGTTGAGGTTGCGGGTACACCTTGCTGATGAGTGTCAAAAAGCAGGAAATCTAGTTCTGGCAGAGCCCCCTGTCAATTGCTTCAATCCAGAGAACACAGTGAGCTTGACTGATAGAAGAAAGTACTCATTTTAATATTTTGAGGAGTTATGAAGGCAACTTACAGGTGAGTATTTTATAGTACACCGAATGTCATACAGATAAAGTTAGTAACCAGTTAAACAAGACTTTTTAGGAAAGCTTACTTTTTAATTGAAGAGATATAAGTGAGTTACTATTGATCGGTACT